TCATTGACTATAAATAATTTTGAATTCATATCATCACCAAAATATCTAACAAATCATTCAAACCGTATCACAAAAAAAAATTATAATTTTTTAATTCAAGTAAAAATTACTGTGCCAATCCATTGTAGACCACGTAAAGTCAACAATGAGGCCGGAAAATGAGATGAGGAAGCAACAACAAAATTAATAATTCCGGTTTGATGATCTTAGGTTATGTTAAATTTTTTTTTTTTTTAAAATGCGGTTAGAATGTGTGAACCAATTGATCAGTTAAACCGTGTTTGTTCATCTGGGTTTATGTTTGAACCGTGAGAAATCGTTTGGTCCATCAACAATCGTTCAAGCAATGAACCGGACCACTATCGTAGCTGATTTGTGGCTCTACTGTCCCACCCGTTGATCCGGTTCGGTTCTTATAACAATGCTATTTAGTTGTTTTAACCATTCAGATTTATAAATGAGTATAGCTTGTGTCCTTATGAATAAATTAAGCTCGAGTAGAGCCAGCGGCTCATTATTGAGCCAAGCTCAAATCCAAATTATGATATATGAAAATACCCGACACGTATGAGCCACTTATCTAATGATTATTACATGTCAAATTATTTATAACAAAAAGGATGTGTATAAGTATATATGTCAAGTAAATCTGCGACATCTAATTTTTGTCATGTAAATCTTCTTTTTTGGTATATATGTTAAAGAATTATTTCATTTGATGCTATGGATATTTCTTGCCATGCTCAAATTAGCAGTTCATATGCTTTTCCTCCACTATAAATATGTTATAAAAAGTATCAAACAAAGACACAAATATCATCCATCTCTCTAAACACCCCCTCATATGTATAATCTTCAATCCTTATTCAATTTCCCTTTTCTTTCTAGATTCCTAAAATGGTGATGAACAATACCAAAAGCAATAACTCAATTGTCAATAAAACAAAGGGGAAGAAAAATATCAAGAGGAAAACGAATGAGAAGAAGTAGATATGAAAATCACATTTTTCAAACGCAAGCTATGTATATAAGAAAGCAAGTGAGATTATCACCCTTATGTGTAGTGAGGTAAAATTTTATGTTATTCTTTCATATAATAAAACTCTTCACTTTCAACCATCTTCTTTTGAAGACCTTGCACATCAGTACTTGAGCCAACAATTGGTGCCTCAACCACCTTATGAATGAGAAATGCTCATACAGGCTAACATCCAAGAACCTAACTCTTATCGAGAGTTGATAAAGAAATAACATTGATGGAAAAGATTGAGGAGAAGCCACTAAATAATTGGTGGAATCAAAGTATAGAGGAATGGAAGTGAATGAGGTCGCATGTTTCGAAAATTCACCATTTTTCTTCCTTTTCTTGTCCATCTTTTCTAGCATTTACAAGCAGGAAGTTTCACGAACTGCAAGCTCATTCACCTCCACTTCCTCCAGATTTCGATACCACAAATTATTTACTGGATTCACTTCAAGATATTGCCTTAATGTAATTTTTTCATGCTTTTCCTCATCCATGAACTTGAGTAGCTCATTAAGAGTTGGTTTGGCTCTTAGATCTTAGCCTGTCTTAACATTTTCAATCATAAGGTGGTTGGTGCTCGTATTTATTGGCTCAGATATCGATTTGTAAGGTCTTCCAAGGGAGGATGGATAAAGGTGAAAGAGGTTAGTCTGCATGAGGGAAAACCAAAAGATTACCTCACTATATATAATCTTCAATCCTTATTCCACTTCGCTTTTCTTTCTAGATTCCTAAAGTGGTGATGAACAATACCATAAGCAATAACTCGGTCGTCAATAAAACAAAGGGGAGGCAAAATATCAAGAGGAAAACGAATGAGAAGAAGTAGATATGAAGATCATCTTTTCCAAACGCAACCCAAGTTTATAAGAAAGCAAGTGAGATTGTCATAGTGAGGTAAAATTTTATGTTTTCTTTCATATAATAAAACTGTTTACTTTCAACCATCATTCTTTTGAAGGCTTTGCACATCAGTACTTGGGCCAACAATTGGAGCCTCAACTACCTTATAAACTAGAAATGCTTAGACAGGTTAACATCCAAGAACCTAACTCTTAATGATAAGCTCGTCGGGTTGATGAAGGAGGAAAGACATGAAGAAATAACATTGATGGAAAAAATTGAGGAGAAGCCACTAAATAATTGATGGGATCGAAGTCGGGAGGAAGTGGAGGTGAATGCGTTTGCTGTTCATGAAACCTAATTTTTTCCTCCTCTTCTCCACCTTTTCTAGCAATTTCAAGTAGAATTTTCACGAACTGCAAGCTCATTCACCTGCACTTCCTCCAGACTTCGATTCCACAATTTATTTACTGGATTCACTTCAAGATTTTGCCTTAAAGTAATTTTTTCATGCTTTTCCCCATCCTTCAACTTGAGTAGCTCATTAAGAGTTGGTTTAGCTCTTAGATCTTAGCCTGTCTTAGCATTTTCAATCATAAGGTGGTTGGCGCTCATGTTTATTGGCTCATGTATTGATTTGTAAGGTCTTCGAAAGAAGGATGGATAAAGGTGAAAGGGGTTAGTCTGCAGGAGGGAAAACCAAAAGATTACCTCACTATTTGCTAGGGCGACAAACTTGTTTGTTTTCTTCTATATACCTAACTTGTGGTTACAAAAGGTGGTCATCATGTCTTCTTTTTCTCAATCTTTTTCATCTCGATCTTTTGCCTCCCATTTGTTTTCTTGGTCACTGAGTTATTATTTTTGGTCATGGAAAATTGTAAAATATAAGGGTGTATGGAAAGATGAATGATACTTCTCGTGCATGAGTCATTATAATTATTCTTATTATTAGCTATCTAATTAATTCATATTAATCCGTATTTATTTTGGTGGTTAAGAGTCTAGTAGCGGTGAGTGAGGGAGTCTAGTCGGTATTTATTAGTATTTCGATATATGCTGAAATCTCGTGATCTCTAATACAAAATAGCATTTGAAATTCTTTCTCAATCCCAATCCAATAATATTATACGTGTATTTGATAATAATAACAACAAAAAATTCGATAAGATATTCGATATCTCCTCCTAACAATACTATAAGGAGTTTCTTGGCAGAACCCCCTTATTCTCTTTTTTCCTGCGCTTTGCGCAAACCAAGGAAGGAGGGTTTTGTAAAATGCATTGTGCGATTGAACTGGGCCGGCAGTCAATTTTCCCCCTCCCTCAAAGCCCATTACAGCTACTAATCTTATCCATGTGTTGGGCTCATCTGCTGCATGATACTAATGTTCACCCAGAATAATGGGACATCATTGGCTTTTATGAGTAAACGCAAGGTAAATAAGCCATGTGAGGTTGATAACGATCCGAAAGGTAAGAACCAAAATTGTTGGGATTGATTAGACACAAGCCCCAATGAAAAAACTCATCAATATCATTCGAATATTGGCATGCATATGAAATATGCATTCCGATAATTAACTCAACTACTTATTTTACATTTAATTCGTCAATTTTTGAGAGATCGTTTACACTTTACAGTAATTTAAGAATAGCTAATTCACCACTACCAATCTGAATAATTATATGGGATTGGTTAAAAAGAATTGCCAAACTATTTGGTAGTTCCAAACCCTGGTAAATGGTTTAGTTGTTGATTCTTCGTAAATTAATTATGTTGGATGAGTCGGTTAGGATGTCCCAGAATACTGCAGGTGATTAGCATATACAAATGATGAGTGATTTGTATTAACACGGTTCACAAATGAACCCGACATTGCAACCTAAGTAGTATTGACGCAATTAGAAATGAAACCGGCCAACCGACCGGGCCCGTGACTAGTATCCCAAATACTGATATCAAACTTCCAGCCAACTAACCTTTGCTATACAAATTTCGTAAGTATATTCTCCGTTAGGGCTGGGAATCTAGACCAAACTGTATGAGAAACCGCGGTCTAGACCGTATCGTATGGTTTGGTCTGGACCGTGACACCAGAACTATGATCTAGTCTGGTTTGCGGTCTCCTCTTTTAATGCGTGGTCTAAAGTGGTCTAGACCGCGGTCTACCGTAGTAAACCATAACAGATCGCGACACACTACCTACTAACTCGGACAAAAATAACACTAAATTGAACCTCCATTTGTGTATTTGAAGAACAAAGTTAGTTGATTCTTCATCTAGTTGAGAGCCAACAAATTGCTAAATGATAGCTTATGTGTTATCTCCTTGTCAAAGAACCACACAAAACCAGAAAGACTCATAAATAATATTTACAGACAATGTCTAGACTATGGAGTCGATAAAAATTAAACACTAGAAAAAAATTCGTTCACCTTTATGAGATAAGGAAAATTATTGAGAGATATGCGACCATCTTAGTGGTTCAAAATTACCTCGACGTCATCACAACGGTTATCAACCGGGAGAACCTTCAGATCACTCGAGAGAGGAGAGAGGCGGTAGCACAAAGAGGAATAGGGAAACAAGGCTATTTGATGTGTGTGTGTGTTTGAAAATTGAAAAACTCCACTTCTATCCTCATATTTCTTCTCATTTAATTCCTACCACAATTTTTTTGTTTCACTAGCATATTGGTCACTATAATTTTTATTTTTATAGATACCGGCGAAAGGTTGGAGGGCGAACAAGAGTTAATTTTTTTTTAACATGGTCTGTCTGATCTGGACTGTATAGTATATGGTCTGGTCCATGATCTATTCTCCAACCTCTTGGTCTAAATCACAGATCATATTTATGATCTAATCTGGACCGGACCGCACCGTATCCTACCCCTATTCTCCGTGGGCGCAAAGCTAAATAAACATTATCCCAATTCTCAAGACTATGATGAGCCGTTTGAGGCTATAAGCCCAAACCACTCGCCATGGCCCATGGTAAACCCTTGTGGGACAAAGCCCAAGCTCTGAAGTTGACATTTTGCACATATCACCGCCATTGAACCATTCGTGTCCAAGTCCAACTGACCGTCTCTATCTTCCCCTGTTTTCCCCCCTTTCAAGACGCCTATCTCCAAGACGACAGAGGCGGGATGCTCTGTTCATTCCTAAAGAAATTGGCCGGATCCACCGCCGTCTTCACTCTCACCAATCTATCGAAGTTATTCTTGTAGTAACTGGAACCCCAACTCCTGGCTCGCCTGTAGTCACCCTCTCCGCCGCCGCCGTTCCTCCCAATATCCAGATCCCTGTAATTCGCATACGCTTCTCGAGGATTCTTCGATACATAAGGCGTCATGTACTCGTACAACCCTCTCAACCAATTCAAGTACCCATCCGCCGCTTCCACCCCGTCTTCGACCCAGAACGCCACTTCTTCGACTTGGTATATATTCCCGGCCCTGTGCGGGAACGGGATGCTCGATTCCGGAATCTCGCTCATTTTCCCGCCGTAAGACGCCAAGATCAAACCACCAGTCTGAACTCCCACCTCCTTCAGCTTTTCCCAAATCCCTTCGAACCCGCTTATCGGTATGGGTTCTTTCACATAGTCGGATTTCCCTTTGAATTTCGCCGACCCAGTTGCTGAAATCGTCCTGTCCAGCAAACTTTCCAGCGGGGAATTGAGTGGAAATCCGGCAAAGTAGAGAATCGATTTCGCCCAACTCATCTCCACGCAGTTCTCCCTTCTCAAACCCAGATCTGGGAATTTTGCCTCCATCATCAGAATCAAACCCTCGATGCTTCCGAGGTAGAGTGAATTGAAGGAGGCTTGAATAGTCGTGGCGTTCGCTTGAATTGGATTGACCACTCTGTTCAGAACCACCATGAAGAACACGTCGTTGGAGAGCTTATCAACTACGTACTGCCATCGATGGACGATCTCCGTCGCGTTCTGTTCCAGAGTCCTCGTAACAGTGCACGCCGTCACACTCGCTGGGACGGGGACTAGTTTGATTTTCCAGGCGATGACAATTCCAAACGTGTTGCCACCTCCGCCTCGAATCGCCCAGAACATATCTTCTCCCATGGATGCTCTGTCCAGGATCCTGCCCTCGGCATCAATTACTCTGGTGTCGAGCACGTTATCTGCGGCGAGCCCATACTTCCGCAACAGGGTTCCCCAACCACCGCCGCTGATCTGCCCGCCGAGCCCGACCGTGGGACAAATTCCTGATGGGAACGCCAGAGTGGAACTCTTCTCTGCGATCCTGTAGTAAAGTTCCCCTGTAGTCACCGCCGGCTGGATCCAAGCGGTCTGCTGAGCTAAATCGATGCTTATGTTGCGAAAGCTGATGAGATCGAGGATGAGGAAGGAGGAATTATGGTCTGGGGAGGTGTAGGAAAGGCCCTCATAGTCGTGGCCGCCGCTTCGGATCCTGATTTGAAATTTGTGCTTCTTGGAACAGAGGATTGTGGTCTGGATTTGGGGAATGGAATCTGGGGTGACGATGAGTACTGGCTTTGGGCTGGCGCTGGTGTTGAACCTGCTGTTTTTGATTGAGAATTGAAGGATGGAGTCATAAGAGGAGTTGGTTGGGGTGAAGGTGACTTGGGAAATGGTGTTGTTGTAGTTTTGGGAATAGAGGCACTCGAGGATTGATTCTTCATGGCTATGGCGATCAGCTGAGTTGAGGTATGGAAAGGAAATAGCGATGAGGATCAGTAGGATGGGAAGAACTCTCGCCATGATGGTTCAGTTTGGTTCTTTGTGAATTGGAGACGATCCCCTTTTATGTCCAAACTCCCAAGGTAAAGTTCAAATGTCAACGGCCTATGGCGGCCAAGAACTAGGAGTTGAATTAACTTGATGCAAGCTGCCAACTTGCATATAGTCAGCCTTACGAAAAGGGTAACGTGGTTGAATTGACTAGCTGACATGACAATATGGGAAGAATAGCAGTATTTGAAGCGGTCTAAGCTCGAAAACGATGATAAATTTTTCGGTACGACATGTATTACAACATCTACGAAATTGTTACGAACAGATTCAAGAGTTTCTTGTAACAGAGTTGCTAAGGTTTACTGAAAACTTCAAAGTGGTGTAACATTTTCTACATACCTGAATTTCATTATGACGCACCCTTACTAGCATTCGGTATATTACAATTCGCTACTCATCAGCCTGGAAAGCATCAGGAACCGGCGGAATGCTCTGTTCATTACGGAAGAAATCTTCAGGATCCACCGCGGTCTTCACCCGCACCAACCTGTCGAAGTTGTTCTTGAAATACTTCATCCCCCAAATGCTCGCTCTCTCGTACGCCGACTCGCCTCCACCTCCAACACTGACAGCATCGTTCATCCCCAGATCAAGATCTCTCGAATTCATGTACGCACCTCGCGGGTTCTTAGAAACATAAGGCTCCATGAAATCGTAGAGTTCCCTGATCCACCCAATGTTTCTATCCGCGGCTTCCTCGCCACCGTTGTACCAATACATATAGTACTGGATCTTGTAAATGTTACCAGCTCTATGCGGGTATGGCACGCTGGATTCCGGGATCCGGCTCATTTTACCGCCGTGAGGCATGATCTCGAACGAAATCGCCCCGTCCTCCACTTTAGAAAACCTCTCCAATATCTTCTCCAACTCTGCTTCCGGAATTGGGGTTTGAACGTAGTCCGATTTCGCTTTGAACCTGCCAGTTTTGGAAATGGTGATGCTCCTGTTCCGCAATACTTCTAAGGAACCATTGATTGGAAAATCGGCAGAGTAGAGGATCGACTGGATCCAGCTCATTTCGATGCAATCCGATCTTGAAACGCCCAATTCAGGAAACCTCTGTTCCAACAGGGGAAGCAGAGCATCTGTTTTCCCCAGGAACAACGAATCAAACGAAGCTAGAATCGTGCCGTTATCTCTGCTTAGAGAAGCCATGACGATTAGATCGTCTGGGAGCTTGTCGACCACGTGCTGCCACCGGTGGAACAACTCGATTCCCTTGTGCTGAGCAGTTCTCGACACTGTAAACAGAGTCACCGTGGGAGGAACGGAAACCAAGCTCAGTTTCCACGCTACGACGATCCCGAAAGTATTTCCTCCACCTCCGCGGATTGCCCAGAACAAATCCTCCCCCATGGAAGCTCGATCGAGGATTCTACCTTCCACGTCGACCACTTGCGCATCCACCACGTTGTCTGCTGCGATGCCGTGTTTGCGTAGTAGGGAGCCGTAACCTCCGCCGCTGATGTGGCCGCCGAGACCCACCGTCGGCCACATTCCCGCGGGGAAGGCTAGCGTTCTGCTCTCGGCGGCTATGGCGTAGTAGAGCTCTCCTAAGGTGGCTCCTGCTTGCGCCCAAGCGGTCTTTGAGGGCACGTCCACTTGGATGGCTCGGAGGTTGCGGAGGTCTAGGACGAGGAAAGTAAGGGACGGGGAGATGGTGGAGTAGGAAAGGCCTTCGTAGTCGTGGCCGCCGCTTCGAACTCTGATCTGAATCCTGTGTGCTCTCGAGCAGCGGATTGCGGATTGGATGTGTGAGATTTGTCGCGGTGTGAAAATCAGCAATGGCTTTGGGGTGGCAGAGGTGTCGAACCTCGGGTTTCGAATGGAGGATTCGAGCAAGGAGGAGAAGGAAGAGTTGGCTCTAGTGTAGACGATGCTTGTGATGTTCGAATCATGGAATTCGAGGCATTGCAGGAATTCCTCGTAAGGTTGGGATGAAGTTACGCCGAAGAGTAAAACGAAGAGGGCAACGAGAATTGGAAAGCTTCGATGAGCAGTATCCATGTTTTCGTTCTACTACAGAACTTGGATTGATTGTAATCTTGGAGCAGTGATTATATAATCTGCATCACTGTTACAGTGTTTGCAGGTGACTCTGTTCTAGAAGTAGATGGTTATTACTTGTTGGTTGACAGCATTTCTTGGTCAGAATAAGCTTCCTGTGATGTTGTAATTTCAGGCACTCAAATGCAGCTATGGAGGCACCAAGCTGAAACCAGGGTAGTTGGTAGAGCAGCTCGACCAGAATCAGAGACTTGCAGGCATGGATAATGCATTAGATTATTACTACATCGCAGCTTACCCTCTCCGACAAGTTCAAACAATATGGCGTTGGACTTCGTCAGTAACATGATCTAGCGAAGTAAGCAACAACACCTCAAACCAACCAAGAAAACACAGAACAGGTCTGCAGTCTACTGAATCTATGAAGACGTCCTCAATTCCGGGCTGCATACGGAGTACTAAACCTGGTGGGGTTGCTAACCAATTTGGTTATCCAATCAGCTTATATGCAAAAGTTTAGGCATTGAACTTTGAAATCTGATTGGTAAAAGCCTGCTCGCTATCGCTTCGTGTATTAGAAAAATAAATATTTTAAAGAGTAGTATTTTTTTTTACAATAACATATAGTCGATGAACTTGCATAAGTTAGAATGACCATCTAATAGATTATTTATGTTTGTATGGTTAGAATGATGTACGTTAACCTTACAGTACACTCATATGTTTTGTTATTTAAAGAATGAATTAATCAGAGTTTGAGGTATGATACAACTACACATATTTCAATATTTTCTTATGGCAAAAGCTAGCTTATCCTGATTCGTCCAAATATATGAAATGGATAGAATAAATGTCAATGCTGGGACACAATCAAAAGAGGGTGTGACTGTATCATGATCCTGAATGGTGACATCAAGATAATTATTGAACCTCAACTCGTCAACCAGGAAAGCAGTGGTCGTCTGGAAAAATGACTCTCTCTCTACATTGGAAATCCTCTCAACTCAAGAAATATGATCCAGCTGCATTTTATGTAGCCTCTTCTCCGGCCTTTCTGGTTGCCATTCAAGATACCTACCATCTAACTTCTCCCAATCTTACCATACATTCTTGGAGGAAGAGAAGATTTGCAAGAAGATCCAGAAGAGTTAAGGCAGAAGCGAAAGGAAATGAACAGGCATTTATTGGTCTGCACCTCAAGATTGGCCAAATCCAGCTCACTATTCATCCTCATCTCTGGACATTCAATGCTCAATATAAGACCTGGAAACCTCCTCCCCTGCAGAAAACCAGCAGAAGGCGTCACTCAGGAGACATTTGGCTTCTGCCAACTTCACCAATCGGGGCATCAGCTATTTATGAGATGGGATTCATATCCCTTGAGCCCCAAAATGGCAAGACACAGAGGACAATCAACTATCATGCAGGGACTTATCTTTTCTTAGTAAGGGGATATTGCTGATGAGAAGGAGATTAATGCCCAATTTATCCCCTGGAAATCACCTATAAAGCTTGTTAAACCCATCCAGATAGACACAGCAACTTTAATCTTGGCTTTTGTTCCTGGAGAAACCCTTTCAGTAGAAAAAACACCAAAAACCCAGACCTCTTTGAAAACAACCAGTCACCCCATGGAGATCAATCCGAGAGACAACCGGGCTGGAAAGGGCCATCTGGTTCTCAACATTCAACCACAAGAAAATAGAGGAAGGGGAAGTGAAAACAAGGTCCTGATCACAAAGTGGCTGACTGACAACAACATCTCAACAGGGAAGGCGAGAAATGTTACTCAAGCTAAATGGAGGATCCATGGCGAAATCACCATCAAGAGGGAAGCCAAAAACCTGTTCGTGTGCACCTTCCCAACAGCTGCGGGTAGAGACGCGATCTGGAATTCCCGCCCCTGGAGCCTCTCCAACTGCCTGATCGCAGTCCAGAAGTGGGATGGAGAAACTAAGCCAGAAGAGGTGGAATTCCCAACTGTCACTCTGTGGGCTCAGATTCATGATCTTCCTCAGGTCCTCAAAGAGGAGAATTCCATCCAGAATGCTGCTGAATTTCTCTTCCCAAAACTCCATAGAGTTGACAGATCAAGCCTTGAAGCAGCTGGATGGATGAGATTCACTCGGGTACTTGTCGAAGTAGACCTCCAAGAGCCAGTTCCGATTGGGTTTGAATACCCCCTTGGGAGGAAAGCTGTGTGGGTGAGCCTCAAATATGAAAAGGTCACAGATCTGTGCTACTTCTGCGGAAAGATTGGACACCTGATTCATAGCTGCCAGGCCAGGGAGGAGTGCAGGGAGAAGGGTCTCAATACCGAGCCATCAGGGATCTACAGCGCAGCTCTTAAAGCCGGATATGAGTCACCGGCGGCTACTCCTCCGCCATCCTTTCGCCGCAAGACGCAAGGTCAGATTGACGGAGAGGAGAGGCATCTGGAAAAAGGAAATCCATCATCCCAAGGCGGCCTTGGGAACTCCACCCCAACGGCTCTTATCACTGCGGCAGGGGAACCCTCGACTCCAATCTCTCAGACGATGGGGGACAACCTCTTCCTAGGTCAGAGATCCATAACGGATACTGACATTTTTCCTCACTCATCTCCCTCTGCACATCAAAAGTTCTGTTCCCCAAGGAGGCTTGAGGAAGATTTGGAAGAGGTGGCTGCGGCAGTGAAGTTCTCTCTGGATCTTAATGTGGGAGTCAAGCATAGGGGAGACATCCCTCTTCAGCTGAACAAAAAAGCTGGGCCCATTTGCTTGGACTCAGAAGAAGAGATGGGCTTGGTGGGCCAAACTCACAAATTTGGAAGCCCACATTATATAATGGAGGAGCAACAACCATTATCCATTGTTCAAGAAGCCCAACTCAACTATGAAAGGGAACTTGGACGGGCTGAAAAGAAGAGGAAACAAGAGTGGCTTCTCAATCTCTCAGGAGGCCCAAGTGGAGAGTATTTACACACTAACCTGCCCAAATCTTTTCTGTTTAGCCCAGGGTCAGAAGGCAACACAGCTGGAGACAAAAGAAAGAAGACTGGAGCAAAGAAGAGAATGATGGCAGGGGGATCGGCTGCAACTCAAGCAGCAGGGGATGAGAACTAATCTTCCTCTCAGGCGGCGGTGGGAAGCCTTAATCCACCTAATCCAGAATGAGGATCCTGAGTTGGAACTGTAGGGGGTATGGCCAACCCCTTACAAGAAGCCATTGCAACAGGTTATGTAGAAGCCTGGGCCCGTCCATTCTCTTTCTCATGGAAACGAAACAAGAAGAAGAATACATGGAGAGACAGAGGAGAAGGACGAATTTTACTAATGCGAAATATATAAACCCTAGTGAAGGCGGCAGTGGGTTAGCCCTTTGGTGGAAGGCTGGAATCTCTATCCACTTTTTAGATTCTAGCATCCACTTTTTCGATGTTTGTATTAGTAGTGGCAGTAGTAATTTCTTTGTTTCCTTTGTCCATGCCCCGACCACTGCGGTGGAAAGAAGGGCTTTTTGGGAGCGTATGAGCTCTTTTAGGGGTAGTATTGAAGACAAGTGGCTTATTGTAGGAGACTTGAACATGGTGATGTATGATCATGAGAAAGAAGGAAGGTGTCCTCTAAGGAATGAAAACACCACCCCGTTCAAGTACTTCATCTCGCACAATGCTTTGGTTGATCTCGGTTTCAAGGGTCCAAGATTCACATGGACAAACAAGCAACAAGGACAAAATCTGATAAGGGAAAGGTTGGACAGAGCCATTTGTTCAGCATCTTGGAGAGAAGAATTTGACAAAGCAGTTGTGTTTCATGAGGACATGGTTGAATCAGATCACTGTCCCATCTGGGTGGATATCAATTTCAATAATAATAGGAGAAGAACTCCCTTCAGATTCGACAAACGATGGAAAGATCAAGTGGAATGTGCTGAGATTATTTTGAAAATCTGGGAAGAACAAGGGGACTCATCAATCAAGCTCCAGAGATGTGAAACAGAACTTGTCAGTTGGGCTAGAGATAGTAAAAAAGAGAGAATGAAGAGGGAAGTTGAAATCAAAACCAGACTTCAAGACCTCCAAGGCCCGGCTAGGAATCTAGAGGATGTGGAAGAGGAGAAAGCACTCACTTTGGAGCTGGCCAATATTTGGAGGGAAGAGGAGGCTTTCTGGGCTCAATGTTCCCGGATTCATTGGCTACAAAAAGGGGACCAGAACTCTGCCTTTTTTCACTCTAGTACGATTCAAAGGCACCACTTTAACCGGATTCTCAGACTGAAAGAGGACAACGGGACTTGGATAAGTAATGAAAACCATCTCAGGGAGCTGTCTCAGGATTTCTTCTTCACCCTGTTTCAAGCTCGTCCTGCTGTGCAATTTGATCACCTTCTTCAGGACTTCCCTCAATTGGTGACAAATGAAATGAATGTCCACTTGTGTGCTCTGGTTACTAATGATGAAGTGCGAAAGGCGGTCTTCAGTCTTGGCCCCTCTAAGTCTCCAGGACCTGATGGTTTCCCGGGATTTTTCTTCAGAAAGTTTTGGCATACTATCGGGGATGGATTCTGTGAGGAGATCAGAGCTTTTTTTCTCAATGGCCAGCTGCCGGACGGCTGGAATGATACTCATATCTCGTTAGTGCCAAAAGTTGACGCCCCGGAACAGATTAACCAATTCCGGCCGATTAGCTGTTGTAATTTCAAATATAAAGTGATTGCAAAAATCATGTCTTCAAGGCTGCAGAACTGGCTCCCTCTCCTGGTTTCGGAATTACAAACTGCTTTTACGGGTGGGAGACAGATTCAAGATAATGTCGTTATTGTTCATGAGGTTCTCAACCATTTCAAGAAACACAAGACTGGCAACCGTCGGGACATGATGCTTAAACTGGACATGAGGAAAGCATATGACCTCGTGGACTGGGATAGTCTTGATAAAATCCTTACGGTCTACGGTTTTGATCCGATTTGGAGATCCTGGGTCAGTGAGTGTGTCAGATCTGTCAGGTTCTCTATCCTTT